CCTGCACACCATCAGACTGATCTTGCTATAAAAAAACCATCCTTTCGTGTCAGTGTTCATGAGCCTTTTCAGGTCAGTGTTTCCAGGCAGCGTTTGCACCCAGCACTGTTCCAGTGCAGCCCAGCGACAAGTGGTGTCCCTCGGGGACCAGTACTGGGACAGGTGCTATTTAACATCTTTGTGGGGACACGGACAGGGGCAGCAAGGGCACCCTCAGCCCATTTGCCGATGACACCAAGCTGTGTGGTGCAGCTGACGCACCAGAGGGCAGGGATGCCATCCAGAGGGACCTTCACAGGCTGGAGACGTGGGGCCAGACCAACCCTGTGAAGTTCAGCAAGAGCAAGTGTAAGGTCCTGCCCTGGCTGGAGGCGATCCCCAGCACAGACACAGGCTGGGCAACGAGCGGAGGGAGAACTTCCCCATGGAGAAGGAGCCGGGTGCGTTGGTGGCTGAGATCAACATAAGCCAAGCGTGCACTTGCGGCACGGCGAGCCAACCCTGTGGCGGATGCGTGAGGAGCTGTGTGAGCAGCAGCGCGAGGGAGGGGATTCCGCCCCTCTGCTCTGCCCTTGTGAGACCCCACCTGGAGCGCTGCGTCCAGCTCTGGAGCCCCCAACACAAGAAAGCTGTGGAGCTGTTGAATCAAGTCCCGAGGAGGCTACCACGCTGGTCAGAGGGCTGCAACACCTCTCCTACGAAGACAGGCTGAGAGAGTTGGCTTGTTCAGCCTGGAAAACACTTTAGGGAGACCTTATAGTGGCCTCCCAGGTCCTGAAGGGGCCTCTAAGAAGGCTGGGGAGGGACTTTTGCCAAGGGCCTGTAGTGACATCCAGCTGGGATTGCAAATGAAAGCAAGGGGTTTGCTTTTCATTTTAAGCTGCCCATTGTTAAGTAAGTTGCTACCACAAAAAAAATGGTGCAACCACTGGTTGTACTTTATGAGAAACCTTAGATGAAACACCAGGATGCACAGATCTGAGCTGAGGTGCACTGGCAGACTCAGGAGGAAGCTTCTGAAACGTCTGTCTAGAACACACCAGTGCTTGTCAGATTAGAGTGAACTGTAATTTCATAAAGAAAACGGACAAGGGGCAATGGATGGAAGCTGCAAGAGCGTAGGTTTAGCCTAGATCTAAGGAAGAAGTTCTTCCCCCTGAGGGTGCTGAGGCACTAGCACAGGTTGCCCAGGGAGGCTGTGGATGCTCCATCCCTGGAAGTGTCCAAGGCCATGCTGGATGGAGCCTGGAGCAGAGCTAGTGGGCGATAATGTCCCTGCCATGGCAGGGGGTTGGAACTAGACTATCTTTGAGGTCCTTTCCAACCCAAATCATTCAATGACTCTATTACAGGCCACTGGGGGAAAAACAAACAAACACAACCAAAACCAAGGGTGCAAAATGGGAAAGGAATAAAAAAACCCACAGCAACCCAACAAACAATCGAACCCAAAGCCTGAGACCATTTCCCTTAAAAACTAAATAATGCCCTGCCACGACTGCTTTGGAAGTAGTCTCAAGATGCACTTTTCCTTGCAAAATCTAATTATGAAGTACAATAAAAACCCAACCACCATCTACCCCACCAACAAAAAATAAATTACCACATTAGACTAATTCACATTTACAGGTTTTTTATTTTTAATGGAAAAATAAAGGCAAACCTTTTCGAAGTAGTATTTCCTTAGAAATGCTTTTGCCTCACACGAGTTAGGCAAATGCAAGGCAGCGACAGAGCACTGGTCATAGGGCCTGAGGTGTTTGCAAAGGGATGGGATCTGTCACGGTCTAAATTAGCCCAGCACAGGCAACTGAGACCCCTGTGAGCCAGGATTCAGTTACCCCCACATCCTCCGAACCCTCTGTCTGTCTTTTCTTCCCCTTGGGTGCCACTATGGACGATTCCATTTCAAAATTTAAATCCAGGAAAGGGAATTTACAAACACACCTTTAAAAAGTCTTGGCTGATGGTCGAGCTGCTGCCCAGCTCTTCCTCTGGGCAAATCTGGAACAACCCCCCAGCCCTCAGCTCCTCCCCGCCTTTTAACATCCAACATGCCCCGGGATGGAAAGTTACCACCAATTTGACCAAACTCAAATTACTTTTTTCCCCCCCAAAGTGAGGGGCATCCCCCAGGACAACACTCATACTGACATGTGCTCGGTCTCCAACATCCCCCAAACCCCTCCACATCTCCATAAATAAAAGTATCCGTTCTGGCCAAGCACCTGTCACCAGCATTTTATATTTCAAATTAGTAATTTCCATCTCAAATCTTATCCTTAAGCAGCACGTAACTATCCTAGCGAGCAAATAAGCTGTGGGGATTGGGCCGTTAGGCAGGAGTAACAGCTCTCAGGTATTAAAAAAAAAAAAAAAAAAAGCACTGAAAAGGGTCTCTAAATAATTCTGTGAGCTCAGACATCGCTTAAGTCCAAAAACCAGAAGACAGCAATAATTTATCAGAGCTGTACAAGAGTATTTTAAAGCTAGAAATAAATACTAGTAGACGCTAGAAGACAAGGT